AGCCAGACGATCAAGCTCTGTGTTTACTGGATGGCAGCCATGAAAACCAGAGCATCAGATACGTGCACATTCTCCTTTCCAAGAGCTAGCACATGACCTGCGGGGAGGCAGGAAGATGGCACCCACCAGCCTCTACAGTCTCTCTCTGCAGAGTATTTCAAGTGGTCCCTAAATGTGTATTAAATCAGAAGCCTACACCTCAGGCCGAAGCTTTTACCAGGAACAAATAGGCCTCTTCCAAGGAAGAGTGGGCACATTTCAGTGTGCTGCCTCTGAGCTGAGCCGTGGAGGGTTAGCCATAGGGAGTCCTTGTGAGTCCTTTAAGTACTGTCTCTTCGTTCACTACAACCTTGTGGATCTCTTGGACTCATGCCCTGTTGAATTGAAAGCCAGATGTTTTGGGGGCTCACTCCTCAGGAAGAAGCTGAAAGTTGTGAGCTCCTTCCCGGTTGTGTGTCGCCACACCAGGGGGGTTATGGTGGCACTGTGTCTCAGCCTCTCCTACCTGTTTCATTGTGGGGTGTCCCCTCGCCATGTTTGCCTGATAGGTGTAGGCGTCACTGAGCTACTTTCTGACTTTCTTTCCGAGGCACTTGTTCTGTATGTAGCTGTAGATTTGCTGTGTCTGTGGGAGGCAGCAATTTCAGGACCCGGTTCTCTTGCCATCTTTAACCAGAACCTCCCCGGTAAACTTCTTAAGTGTGTGGATTGTTGCGTGTGTACACGGGGATGTGTTGGGCTTGCTTAGTAAAACATTCCTTTCACAAGCACTGTACTGAATGTTTCTTGCATGGGCAGGGCTCAAGTGCTAGGGAGAAGAAGGAAATCCTACTAACTACAAAACAGAACAGATTATGAGATCTAGTGAGGATGAAATTCCCTGAAAAGAAAGGATGGTATATTTTGGGCTAAAGGAAACACTGTCCACAGGTGAGTGCGACAGCGGGCTCTGTGTGGATGAGCACCGGCCCTGCCGATGGAGGGAGAGATCGCGTTCAGAGGCTGCAGAGGAAGGGGGAGTTCAGCTGATCATTGGCAGAAGCTGTGAAGTGTTTGTTTTGCTCTGTTTATGAGAACAGACTGACCTTGATGGTTGGTGGTAGCTGGGCTCGGCTAAAGAAGGTAGAGAAAGGGTGTATTTTGGGAGTGACGAATATATCTAGTACCTTGTTTGTGGTCATATTAGGGGTGTACGCATATGTCCAAGATCGTACTTCAAGAAAGTTAAAAAAAAAAAAAAAAAGGTGGTAAAGGACTATCTTTGTGTAGGTTGGAAAATTAGACGATGTTCTGGAAGCTGACCAGAATTTAAGACTGGGTTACATTTTTATCCAAAAGACACTCAGGAGAGGGGCCTGGCAATCTTGAGGAAAGCCTTGAGTGATGCCGTGAGAAGCGATACGTCACTGCTGTGGTAATGGGGTGTAAAATATTTTACTTGAATCCAAAAGTGAGGGACATCCTACAGAGCAAGTTGCTCTGACCTCTTCTAAAATGTCAGTGTTATGAAAAATGTAGAGAGGCTGGGGAAGTGTTCTAGATCACGGGAGACTAAAAAATAACAATGCAAAATGTGACCCTTCGCTGAGCCGTAAAGAATATTACTGGCAGAATTGGGGGTATTTCAACTTAAATTATGTCTAGCAGTGTTGTATCAGTGTTAATTTCCTGAGTGTGATCGTTCCTTTGTGGTTATGTAAGAGGGCATCTTTCACCTCAGAAGATACATACTGAAGTATTTAAGGTTGAAGCGTCATTATATATGGAATGTAATCATTAAATGGGTCAGTTAAACTCTGCACATACCTAATATGCACATAAAGTATAAATGTGGCAGACTGTTCAATTAACTCCAATTCTGCCACAGTTTGAAATTATTCTAAAGCAGCCAGGGAATCTCTTAACGTTTTTAAGGAAAAGTGAGTGGGAAGAAGGGTCGGGGTTATCAGAGCTGGTAAAGCTCCTGTATACATAGCTCACGAAAGCCAAACTAACTTGGTGAATTTCTTTGTCTTTTCCAATAGAATGTAAGCTTCATGACACTGTCCCAGTTAAAAAAAAAACAACAACGTATAGCAACACACATATGGTACGTAGAGATGTACAGTGAGAAGTATCTCATGGTTTGAGGAAGCACTCCAACTCCTGAGGTAGCACCCACTCTTGCTTTTAAAAGAAGTCATTTTAAAGAATGCCGTTCTCTATCCACACTATGGTTCTGTAAATCCCAGCCTTATCACAGCTCAGACCTTCAAAGCACAAGGATCCACACTGTGCACTTACTTAAATACCTGTGTGTGTCCTTCAAGAAGATTGCTGGGTTTTTTTTTTTCCCCCCCCACTGAAAGGAAGTTGACTTACACAGTTGGAAAAAAGATCACCTTTGGATTTAGTCTTTTCTTTCAGAGAACAAATGTTGCCAATCCATTTTCTACTAGCCACTTAGCCGAACTCACCCAAACAGAGCACTTCTCTCCTTGTTTTCTGTCCTGCCATGTGCTGTGACTTGAGTGCTTTCTTGGGCCAGTGTTGACAGGCCTACATAATGACTGCTTCTAAGCACCCGGGGCTGTGAATCTCACTTGTTAAAATAGGCAATGCAGTTTCACATGCTTTGCTTGCCTCAAAGAAAGGTACAAAAACTGTTGTTTTTGGAGTTTACAGACTTTTAAGAGGCATACGTTTTTTCCTATGCCAAACTCTCATTTTCAGTCAGCGGTCCAGTAGTTCTATTCAGATCTCACAGCGGGGAGAGAATCTGAGGTGAACACTGCCCCCAGTCACTGAGCTGTGATAAAGCCAGGAAAGCCACTTCACCCACATTCTGTTCCTTCACAAAACAACTGAAGCCTGGCTTTCCTGCAAGGTTTGACTTCTCTGGAGGAACACAGGACTCTGCCCAGTGCCTGAGGTTCTTGAAGTTCATCATTCAGCCCCCTCATCCACCTTCCTCAGTGTCTTTCTCCATTCCTCAGAACCTCCCTACCATCTGATGAGCCCAACCAACCTGGTCTCCTCAAACCCATGAAAAGCCCCCTCTCAGTGGTCTCCATGAATGTCCAACTTTGAACTTTTCCTGACCATGGTCCCTTGATTCTTCCTTTGGGTCCATCACTTTACCTCTCTATACGCTACTGTCATGGAACGCCTTAGGTACAAAATGAATTTGTCAACACACCATATCAGAGCTTTGAGGGTGAGAAATCAAGGAGACCCAGGTCTCTCCCTTTCTGTGAGGTAAGATCTAGAGAGTCAAGTATAACCAGTTTAGGATCCAGGGAAAAGGAAACACAAAAGATGGGATGCCTCATGCTGGGCCTTAGGACAGGAGGAAGGGGGTGCCTAGGTGTCTGACTCTTGGTTTTGGCTCAGGTCGCATTCTCGTGGGTTGTGGGATCAAGCTCTGTGCTCAACGGGGAGTCTGAAGAGTCTGTCTCTCTGCCCCATGTGTGTACACTCTCTCTAAAATAAATTTTTTTTTAAAGATTTTTTACTTATTTGACAGAGCACAGCAGGGGGAGAGGGAGAAACAGACCCCCCCCCCCCCCCGCTGAGCAGGGAGCCCGATGTGGGACTTGATCCCAGGACCCTGAGATCATGACCTGAGCCACCCAGGCGCCCTTAAAATAAGTCTTAAAAAAAAAGAGGAGGAGAAATGAGGGGGATAAACCCAGTATTTGCGGCCTTCACTAAACACAAAAGCTCCCCCAATGTCTAAGTCTAGCATGGCAGGAAAAGCCAATAAGCAGATGGCTGGTGACATTCTATTATCATTTATGCCTCATGCCCTCCAGCTTTGAGAACCCGGTCCTTGGCAAAGAACACTGTGGAAGAATAACACTAGACCATTTCCTCGACAAACTCATCTTTCACTTAAGTCCTCATTGTGACTAAGTAATGTTCCAAAAGCGTCTTAAGTGATCTTGACATGATCCAACGAGCTGTCACTTCTTTTCATTCCCATTGAGCCCTTTCCTGCATTGGACCTGTTACCCACATCTGCCTTCTACCTGCTCTCCCCTCCTTCACTACCCCATTACTCAAAGGGAGGTCTTTCTCAAGACACTGGATCCAAACACCTTTGTTCTACGTTTCTCCTCTCATACCCTTCAACTACCACTTCTGTGGAGCGCACCGTCACCTCCCCCAGCCTGCCCTTTCACACCAGTCACAGACCTGTGCTTTTGCTTCCTTCCACACACGACTCAGACCTGCCAGTTTCTCAAAAATAGTATGTACCCAGTCAAAAGGATCACGATCTCCTTCCAACCCCATCATTTCCAGGCAAGCCCCCAGCCCTAGGTACTCGGTTTGCAAATAGCAGTCTCCCAGTCTTCTAGCAAGCCTACACTATGAACTCCCAGAACTGGGCCTCTGTGTTGGCGTCTTATAGGTGGAAAGATGGGTTACTTTGCGCCAGAAACAGCTGCCGGGATACCTCTTTGGCGACATTTCTTATCAGGTGTATATGATTTTCAGTGGCTCCCCGACTCTGACAAAAATGAGTCCAACACCTTTGCTCAACATTCGTGTCAATGTGACCCCAACCTTCCTTTGTGGCATTACTTCCCTCCCTCTACCCTGGCCCTTCTGCTTGGACCCCAGGTTTCTACTGACATGGACTGTTGGCTTGTTTCTGCCCAGGGCCCAAGGTCTTCATCTCTACATCTCCACTTCACGCTCTTCCTTCTTCAAAGAGTGCCGGGTTCCTACTTCACCCTTCAAAACCGTTCCCAAACACCCATTCATCGTAAAGCCTTTTCTGTTCTCCAAAATGAATGAAGTTTGACTACTACACTGCCTTGTTCTGAGTAACTGAATGGCCAGCCCCTTGAGGGGGTTTGGACTATGTGACTCATCTTTGCACCCCAAAGACATTTACGACCGTGGCTTGTATAGAGTAGGTGACTTAGCTGATGATGTGAACCTCTGAGCAAACAGTTCACCATTTCCAGACCTTAAGAGAAAACAAAATCCACGAGTGGCTGAGAGACGCTTACCCATGGATTCTGAAGTCTGACTGCCGACCACCCGGAGCAGCATAGGCTGACTGCTGTCTGACCTCTGAAGAGAGGTGGAAGGAGAAGACACCGTGGTACCATTCACCTTGGCCTCTGCCTGGGGCTAAGGTAGCCAAAAGAAAACAGGATTAGTTTTCAGGATAAACACTCAAATAACTGTACAAATATAAAAGGGTTACTCATAGGACTCAGAAATTAGAACCTTTTCCAATAAGAAACCTCCCAAATGTTGCTGTTGATAAGCTCCATGGAGCTTGTCTTTGTACCTGAATTGTGCCTGCCTTACACATTTGAAAAGAAATTACAGCTATGATGGAACAAGATATATAAAATCATTAGACCAAATAACTGAAAGATTTAGAAGGTCACTTGAGAATGGTAAAACCCTGTGAGACCACAACAGCGTAGGAGAGAATTCATACTTTTGTAAAGCATAAAGTAATAGGATGGAGAGAACATAGCTCAAACTTTAAAATTCCCAGAAAGTCAGGGCCTACTACAATGCACTATCTTGCTAGGTTTTCACTGGAGGCTGAAACAATTATTATGTTTTAGGAATTAGAAAAAAAAATGGAAAGGTCTACCAGGAAATAAGACAAATTTCTCACTTTTAGGAGACCAGGGGAAACCTTGCAGAATTTTTTTCCCCCAAGGTGAATTTTAAATGGCTCAAATAAAAAAAAAAATTTGTAGGCAACAATCCTGAACAAACATAAAAAAGATACACTAGCTTTCCTCCTCGTCTTCTATCCCTTGAGAGCCAGCTCTTTGCTCGGCACATCCTAAGTCCTCAACAAATCCATACTTGTCGCAATTCTACAATGGACTCGGAGTTCTCTAAGAGAAGAGAAAGGAATCTCGGTCGATATCCCAGGTGAGAGAGATGTGGGTCTCACTTGCTCCAGCAGCTGCCTGAGCCTATGTAACTGTGACTCCAGCTGTTTGTTGTGATCTTCCAGGATTTGCATCCTGGCTTCCAGGCGGCCTTTGTGTTGACGCAGTAGCTTGGCCTCAGCAATGAGCTCAGCATCCCGGGGACTTTGGGGAGAAGTGGGCATCATTTCAGGCGGGGACGGCAGTGGGGACAGGCCTTTATGTTCATGCTGCTGCTTGAGACGATCGTATTCTGCTTGCAGATTTCTGTTGGCATCACAGAAAGTGGAAAAAGAAAAAAAAAAAACCCAGAAAGTTGAAAATCATCATCAGATTTCATATAAAATGGCAGAGAGAGACATCTGACCACCACCACACACAATAGCAAGCAAAAGAGAGGTACTTAATGAATGGTTTTCATGATGACGATCCTCGCAATGCTTAAGAAACAAAAGAAAATCGGAAGAGTCGGCTTGGTGTGTGAGGGGATATGCTTTTCAACCTCTTATCTTATGAGCGCCACATTCAGATGAGCAAGCAGCAATGGGTTCATTTTACAACCCTTTCCTTATAATGTCATGAGATTACAAATTTTTATACCTCTGTCAACACCGGTTTGCTTAAAAAAAAAAAAAAATCCCACATTCGCAACAGCAATGTAGAACAGCCTAGCAGCAACGTAACCATGAACCCACCACAGTTTCAATAAATGAGACATTTGCCGTGTTTTCTTCAAACAGTTTTTGAAGAGAGAAAGCTGCAGCTTTCCTATGTACTCCCCTCGATACCCTAGCAGACCCTTCTCCCCCACTGACCCCCACCAAAGGAGATAATGCCATTCTGAATTCAATGTCTACCATTTACCACAAATGTATGCACAAAGATTAGGTTGAACTGAGTCCACATGCTGATACTTGGCTGTTTGTCTTACCTACAAAAGTGGCCATTTCATGTGATTGAACCTGTTGTTTTGCATGTTCTTAAACTTTAAGAACGTTATGTTTAAGAAGATACATACCATTCTGAGAGTTGCTTTTTGCCTTCAACACTGTTTTGGAGTTTATCCAGGTTGATACATAATAGTTCCTGATTTTAATAGTCTTAAGGTATTATTCTGCTGCTTGAATAGGTCAACAACATTCTCATGTCAGTGGATATTTAAGTTTCCACCCATCACTATTACAAACAAAGATGCAGTTAACTTCCTTCTGTCTCCTTGGATACCTGTTTACAGAACATAGCTGGATGTGGAGTTGTTGGGGTTTGAGCAATCTCTTTAACGCGTTCATGACATCCTGTAGTACACACATTTTAAATTTCAATATATTCCTCTATGTTTTCTCCTTTTTATGTTTTAAGAAAATCTTCCTTATACCTCCATTTTAAAGTTTAATTCACCCAGAATCTTTTGTGCCTGGTATCTTAAAGACATGATCTAATTTTACTCCCAATCCCATAGGTAAGTGATGAAGCCAGCCTCTTTGACTGTAAAGTCCGTCTTTTCTTCACTGATTTCTAAGGGAAGCTCTGCAATACATCAAGTGCCCATAAATACATCACTGTGCTTCTGAGCTCTCTGTTCTGTGGGTTTGTTTTTAAGTCCCCATGCAGATCACTTACTACAACTTGAAATAAATTGGTGTCTGGGAGGACTTCCTACTCTGTCCTGCCTTAAAAGTGTCGTGGCTCTTGTTGAAACTTAGGGTTTGAATAACAGTAGGGGTATATAGGTTCAACAGGGAAGAACTGACTTCGTGTTATGGAGTCTTCACATCCAAGAATGTGCTGAGTCTCTGAATTCCAATCTTACTTTACATCCATTAAAATTCACTGTGTTTTTTCCTCTAGCTCTGCAGGTTGAATGCTGAAACTGTTCATGTTTTTTAATAAATACATTTAAGGGTACAGATTTCCTTCTTGCTTTAGAATTGCTGAGACGGTAATTCCAACGGAGGACACTGCTACTATCGATCAGAACGCTTGATCTCTTTCTTCTAGTTTCAGGAAATACCAAAGCAAGATGACAGATTCCCGTTGCTCACAGACGATGCTTCGTCAGCTGAGAGAACTGCCTATCCACGAATGGGGGAGGTCTGGATGTCTGAGAAAAGGCACGAGAGACAAGCAGAGTCTTCCCGCTGTCCAGCTTGAGAAAGTAAGATCATCTCATGACCAGGTTTCAGTTAAGGAAATATTTTCGGATGTTCCATGCTTGAAAGATCCACAGGGGATGGTATGGCTTCCAAAATGCTGGATGTCCCCGTGGAAGAAGACATAAAATCCAATCTATTTTTTTTTTCATTTTAAAGCTCTATCCTGGACCTAATTTTACAAGGTTTCTAGAATTGTTGAAAGTCATGCGGGAAATCAATACCTGATCTTTCTCATCTATAGGAATATCATCTCTGATCTGTTTTGACTGAAATCCTGTCTGTCTTCTATGAATCTGCAAGGAGAGCTGTGTGTACGCACTTTGTTTCAGGGCAAGTCGCTTTGACAAAGGAGTAATAAGACACTTTATCGAAACATGTTTACCCGAAGCCAGATTCTGCACATCAGTCCTCTAGGTAGGAACCAATGTATGTGGTTGTTTACATCAATTAAATCCAATTCCTAGCTACTCGACTGGCAATCATCGAAATATTTCTGTGAACCTAAAGCAGCATCCAGTGTTTACGAGGTTTCATGTGATGGGAGTTAACTCCCCCCGCCCCCCAGCAGCTGTTCATGAACCTAGAAGAAATCCAGCTTCACTGCAAAGTCTCAACCAACACCACCTTTTAACAGAGAATCCTATTCAACATCCACAGTGTTCATTTTGAAAACACTATTTTTAGATGTGGACTTCAACATAGTACAGCAAATGATTACCGTCTTCCCACCCACTCTTCACAAAGATACACATAGGAGAGACTACCTTTTCTGGAGAGGTCTTCCTTGGTATCTTGATCTTCAGGGTCTAGTTGTCCAAAGAGCTCTCTTTTTCTGAGTTCTAAGTGTCTTTGTTCATAAAACATGGTTTAGTATATACAACACATTACATTTCTATAAACCAGAAAAGGCTCATTTGACTCAGCCAGGGCTTCCCAAAACTGGGCTGTGAAGAATACCAATTGCTCTACGGAGGCCCTTTCTCGCCTTCCCAGATGTGGGCAATTGCTCTCAGGAGATCATTTCCTTCAAGACTCATATACTTCTTCAGTTCTGGAAGATCCTCAGCTATTGCGGCTTCAAATACTGCTTCTCTGCCATTTCTTCCATGTTCTTCCGAAACTCCTCCTAGATATATTTGGGAGCCTGGTGGTAAATTCTCCATTTCTCTTCAATGCTTGCTTACATTTTTTTTTTTTAATTAATTCTCTGAGCTTCTCTGATGGGGTACAGTCTAGTAATTTCAGTGACCATAGTTTGCATTTCCAAAGATGTTCTTTGGCAGATCCATTTGGTTCTTGGCTATTTAATTTTTTACATATCTATTTAAGTCAGCCCTATACCCAGAACCGGGCTTGAACTCACGACCCTGAGATTGAGTCATATGCTTTACTGACTCAACCCACCGCCGGGCGCCCCAGTTCTTTGCTATTGCCTTATTGCGTTCCTCTCCTCAACTCACCTCTCTCTGTCAAGCAGTTTTGTGGCTGCTCCCACCCAGGGCCTCTGGTCTAGAGCTAGGTCTTAGATCGCAAGTTTATGGCTCTTAGATTGAGTGGTACGAATGCAGTGATTGATTGCTCTCTCCCATCACCAGGCACCATGGTTCAGGTCCTGGTTTCAAGGCTGTGAAGCGATGCTCTCCTTCGCAACTGCACACCTCGCCTCCTCCCCAGGCTACTTGCAGGAGAGCGTCATGCCACATCCATGGCTACGGAGAAGCTCTTGTCCCCGGCAGAGGCCCAAACTGGTCATTTTTCATTTCAAGTCTGTGTATGTCTCTCCAAATGTGTTTTTGCAGAGCCCTGATTTTTATTTTTTTAAAGATTTTATTTATTTGACAGAGACACAGCGAGAGAGGGAACACAAGCAGGGGGAGTGGGAGAGGGAGAAGCAGGCTTCCTGCTGAGCAGGGAGCCCGATGCGGGGCTCGATCCCAGGACCCTGGGATCATGACCTGAGCCGAAGGCAGACGCCTAACGACTGAGCCACCCAGGCGCCCCAGAGCCCTGATTTTTAAAAGGTGGAGCCCCCGAGCCAGGCATTTAAAGAGAATTTTAATAATTCCTGTGGTTACAGCAGTAACAGGAAGTCCACTAACTTATCCCTACATGCTGCTCCCCAGGCCCTGGTTTTCTTCTTTTCATTCCATATGTTATCTACCACTGGATCAATGGCAGGAGCAGAGGAAGATGCCTCAGAACAAGGGCTCAGGTTATCTTCATCAGAAGCCTACCCGGACATGTTGACTTTATGGACGTACGGTCAGTGCTCCCTCAGTGTGCACTCAAACATAAATTCACCATAACAGGATGGAATGAGCCAAATGAGTGGGGCACCTGGCTGGCTCGATCAGTAGAACAGGCAGCTCTTGATTTTCGGGGTTGTGATTTTGAGCCCCATGTTGGGTGTCAAGATTACTTGAAAAATCTTTAAAAAAAAATAAATGAGCCAAACAAATCTTCTATTAAGCGCAAAGACAAAATTTTGTGGGCCTAGTTTTCCCTCCTAAAGCTCGGAGGCAGAACAACGTGTCCCGCCAAAGGTTCAAAATTGGCCAGAAAACAAGGAAAATACCAAGTTCTTGGAGTTGGTATTCTCTTTGAAAGGTGTTTATTTGAAAGACTGATGTTTAAGGTGTCAAATTAGAGGTTAACTTTTCCTAATAAATGTGGTCACGGTCGCAGAGTTGTTCAGGGCATATTTTTGTGAGGGGTTTGGAATTAAAGTTACTATATTTCCAAGGCATTGGCATAGAGGTTTTTAAAGTGTGTCATGATACTAGATTTTTTTTTTTGGACACAGTATTTATAAAATTTCCATAAAAGACCAGTGGGATACTTACCCCTGTTCCAAGGTGAGTTGTTTTAAAGCTTAACTACAAATACATGGTTTACTCCCTTTAACGGTTGTCGATTTATATTGTTACCAATATATATTTCGCTTTTCTTGCAGTTAATACATGTACATGTCACCCCTATTAATTCTCTGTTAGAAATGTATTTATGCTGTCATTTCAACATAGTTGAATATATGTCAGCAATCAGATGACTCCACAGAGAATCTATTTACGTTCTTGATTATCTTGTAAATTATATTTCTCTGGTAGCCCTCTA